CGACAACAGCCGACCACGCAACCACCAGACCCTCTAACGGAGCGAGACTTTAACCTCTGTGTGTATGGTCTCTGTGTGTGTGGTCTCGGTGTGTGTTGTCTCTGTGTGTGTGGTCTCGGTGTGGTCTCGGTGTGTGTGATCTCTGTGTGTGTTGTCTCGGTATGTGTTGTCTCGGTGTGTGTGATCTCTGTGTGTGTGATCTCTGTGTTGTGATCTCTGTGTGTGTTGTCTCGGTGTGTGTTGTCTCGGTGGCGGGAGGCGGCGGCGGGAGGCGGGATGAGAGATAGAAAAGAAGAACCCCACACTAAGATGTGGGGAACAAAATCAAAAGGCGGGTCACAGGTTCAGTTAAGTATGCACACCTTTTTGTGCACCTCCATCCTGTTTGTGCCATTTCCCTTCATTTCCATCCCCTTCTGATCCTTGCTGATAGATGGAATGCTTTTTGGTCGGCCTGCTTCACCAAATTCCGGTCCGTCGAGGAAGAGCATGGCCTCAAAACATCATCTTCAACGGGGGTGGAGATCCGAACTTTTCGATTGGTTTCACCAAAAGAGGTAGACACCCACTCGCAGCAAGAAGTATGACCATATGCCATGCAAATTATCCGCTGGTGACGCAAGTACGCCATTGTCTAGTCTGCAGTGGGAAGCTGGTTTGGATTGGTTTGGTTGTATCCGTTCGCAGCTTGAGAGTTCGAAGAACCCGATGGAATGGAAGCCCTTCATCAAGACAACTGTCGGATCGGCGAAGTGTTTTGGTCAGAATACACATATATAGCTGGCTCTGGCTCTAGCAGGAATCTTTTTTGGTGCTATCTTTCCTTCAAAGCTGCCTGCCGACTCACAATTAACCAGTGCCCGTCCAAGATCTGGACTCCAACGTGGATGGCTTTGACCTCCATTTCACACACTGAGCAACTCACCAGATTCCCTTTATAAACATTAAGAAACGCACTTTCGCTTGCTGAGCGAGCTCTACAGTAATTTTCCCCTGCCTTCGCCGTCTGCCAGAGCTGCTCGAAAGGCTCTCTGGGGTGGCGCTGGCCTGCAGTTTGCTTGTGA